GCACTCGGTCTACAGCCTGCTGTCCGTGTTCAGCCGCGGCTTCTACTGCGGCCCCTCGTTCTACGCCACCAGCTCCTGCGTCCTGTGGCTCAGCTACCTCAAGTCCGTCTTCAACCCCATCGTCTACTGCTGGAGGATCAAAAAGTTCCGCGAGGCCTGCCTGGAGCTGCTGCCGCAGACCTTCCAGATCCTCCCCAAAGTGCCTGAGCGGATCCGGAGGAAAATCCAGCCGAGCACGGTGTACGTGTGCGCCGAAAACCAGTCTGCGGTGTAGGGCGCGGGCGGGAGGGGCGGGAGGGGCGGGGAGGTGCCCGCACGCCCCCTGCTGCGCTACCAGGACCTCCGGAGGCGGCGGCGGCACTTTATCCAGGCTTCTTAAGCACAAAGGGACTCGTTTGTTACCAGGTGACCTGCGGCTCCCAAGTTTGCAAGGCAGGTTGTCCTTGTTTCTCGCTGCAGAAGGGCAGTGTCTGATGGAAACTGGATGGCACTCGAGACAAAAGGGGAAATAGGGTGGTGATGGAGGATTTGAGCAGAAGGTTAGGGAGGAGAGGGAGCAGGGAGAGAGGGGGGCTGAGGTGGGGCAGGAGGAAGGCTCTGTCTCTTCCCACCACTGGCCATATTCCGAGGTGGGAAACCCGTAGGTTCATCTCGTGGGTGGCTGTTCCCTGCACTGGGCTCCAGCATTTGGAGGCATTGTTTGAGGCGTGCGTTGTGGGCACAGGCAGAGTTCTTTCTGTTGGTCAGATGTGCGTTTCTGATGATGCCAAAGTGGCACTGGGAAGCAGAGGGGCCCCTGTGCTATTCAGCTCCCTGTGTGACACGTGGGAGGCCTTGATGGCTGGAAGCCCAGAGAATGTTCTGGGTCAGCTCAGCTGAAACAGAAGCCCCAGCCCGCGCCAGCCCGCGCCAGCCCGTGCTCATCGGGACCCTCCTCCCGGGCTGCACCCACCTGGCCCCTCCCCTGAAGCCTAGCACGTCACTAGCTGCTATGACACCCCCGCCCCTTCTCTCCTTCCCACCACTGGTCCCCCGTCCCCCTTTTCCTCTTTCCACCTGTCCCCGTGGGTGGGAACCACACTCCTCCTTCTGTGATACATCTTTTCAGGACTTGCTTTCAGTCTCAGAAGTGGTTGGGGGCTCTGTTTACACGTTTCCCACAATGCCCTGAGGCCGGGGTCTTAGCGAGCTGCACCGTCCCTCCCTCCAGCATGGGACCTGCCTCGCAGCGGGGGCAGAACAGACCCCCACCGCTGGGCTGCCCGCACTGACCTCTGTGTTCCTACCTCACTCAGGTCCAAGGGAGTCTGAGCACTGCTCTCTGGGCTGCCTCCTGGGACCTCGGTCCCCCAGCCCAGGCAGGACTGGGACCCTGGGAGGGAAGCAGCCTCGAGGACACCCAGCCTGTGTCCAGGGCCACCATAAAGCTTCCAGGGCTGGGCATGACTCTCCTGAGTTCAGGGCACGTGGCTGAGTCCACGGAGCTCTCTTCACAGTTTCTGATATGAAGAGTGAGAAATTTAAGGAGATATAGAAAATCTGATTCTAAGACTAAACTCTATCAGGAACCAGTCAGGGACCTTGCTCGTGCCACCCCACTTCTCTGGGCCTCAGTTTCCCCATTTGCCAAGTGAGGACGCAGGTCTGGATGGTGTCCGATGTCCCTGCCGTCTCTCAGACACTCTGATGCTAAATTGCGAATGCCTTGCAGTCACCAAATCTCCCGTTTCCATTTGTTTATCCGCAAGATGAGCATTTAGTAAGTGCCTGTGTGGTGCAGGGCGCTGGGGGGCAAGGGGGAAGGATGAGGCATGGCTGTGCCCAAGGGCTGGTGTCTGACTGTCTCCGAGTAATCAGAACTCAGAGCCCAGAAGCCCCCGGCATTTCTCCTCTCATTTCCAAGGTAGTATTAAGAGGCCAGCTCCTCATTCTCCTCCAGTGCCAGAGGCAGGAAAGAAACATAATATCATTTACGTTCATCTAAGCCCAGAGAAGGGCTTCTCCAGAAAATAACTGGCACCATTTCTCACCACCTTCACCCTCCTTTTATGCCCAGACCCAGACACCCCGGACCCTTATATACCCGGGGCAGCATATACTTCCATAAGCCGGGGCAGACTGAGGAGGACCGGCCTGTGATTGATGGAGGCGGGTCCCGCTCGTCCTTTGTCCTGGGGGCCCCCAGCAAGGCCAGGGTTTGCCTTCACTTCCCCCGAGGCAGAGCTGCACCGCCTCGGTGGTGTCCAAGAGCACAGCCGGGCCACCAAGGGGGCGGGCCTCTGGGCGCCTCCCCTCCCGTGGGCATTTAAGACAATGTTCTTTGGGAGCCTGAGTGGAAGAGAAATCACAAAGCTGAACGAATGAAGGTACCAAAAATTACATCAATCAGTGTTTCTATGATGTCTGTTGGACAGTAATATATATGTTTCAAAGTAATAATTTTGTACATATTTTAAATAAAGTATTACTGCTCTTTTGGTGGGTAAGACTGTGTTCTTGCCAAAATTGGCACCAGGGCCATGACTAATAAGCCAAGAACCTGGGGGCCAGCACCTCCCAAGACACCACCACTGCGGGAAGTGTAGAACCTGAGTCACTCGCCGAACTGCAATGAGTGAAGGACGTTACAGGTGAAACAGAGAGGGAGACTGAGGGGTGGGGGTCAGGAGAGGGCGCCCATATTTTAAAAGCCTCCCGACCCTGCTAAGTGACTCCAGCTCCACCTCTGACTTTCACTTTGCTACCTTCCTGATTGTCTCCAGCCTCGCGGAGAACTTCTCGGTCCTAAGACAGGGCGCAAATACCAAGTTCTCGCCCCACTCAGGCCTACAGGGCAACCGCTGCTTCTCCGTGATTGGGTTCCATCTTGCCCTGGGGTTCACCCAAACCCAGAGGGCAGTGCCTGGGCTCCATGGGAAGAGACTCGCCTCCGAAAAATGAGACCCAGTAAGTCTCAGAAGTGTCATCCTAATGCTGACCACCATGGAAAACCTACAAGCCTGTCATGTTGAATCTTGGTCCCTACTGGTGGGGTGAGATAAAAGCGAAAGTTTTCTAGGACATTAGCAGAAAAACTTATATTCATCCCTACCTGGCTACTTGGAGCCCTGGTGTCCTTTCTCTGCTGGTTCACACCATGGGCGGCCCAGCCCGCGGGCCTGAGGTCGCTGAGTGCCCAGGACTCAGGTGTCCGATCTCCTGGAAACGCCCATGCAGGGCAGAAGGATGTGTGCATCCGGGCAGCGCCGTCCCAGCCTCAGCAGCTTGCTCTGCGGGATTCCAGCAAGTGATTCTGCATCTGACTCCCTGCCCCCTAAATGATGGAAACCCCCAGCCCGAGTCCCCGCGAGGACCACATGAAAGGGGGCACAGGAGGACCTGGTCAGTGCCTGGGCCGCGGGAGGGCTGGACACACACAGCAACGACCTTCAGTCGTGCTGTCAGCCTGCCTGACGCCCTAACTGTTTCCTTCGAGGGCAAGGATGGAAACGTGTCAGAAGCTGGCTGTCCACAAGTGAGGTCGTAAGAGCTCAGGGTCGGCTGACAAGAATGCAGCATCCTCTGAAGCCAGGAACTTGGCTTCGATGGCCTGGAATGACCACCCTCACCCCACTGTGCACACCAGTTGCTCTGGGCAAATGGTCAAAGTGGGGGCGACAAGACAGAGCCGGGTTAGTGGAGTTGGGCGCCAGGCTTCCTTCGCCTCCCCCACTGACACATCCAACGTCAGTCTCCCGTCTGGCTCTCTCCACCCCTTGGCCTGTCATCTTCTCACAGCCTCTCCTTCCCATCGGGTCTGTCGGCTGAAGCCCCCCTTTAATCTTAATGTGCTGACGAGCTGTCCAGGCCAACGATGCAGGACCAAGAAGGAGAGTGAAGTTGCTGCTCTGGACTGTCTGTCTGAACACAGCCGCCCTGGCTGGTTTCCAGCTTCCTCTTTTGTTCACGGTCGGCGCAACACGGGCGGGGAAATCTGCAGATGGGGACCAGAGAGCTGACTTGGTGAGACTCAGACTCCCCGAAAATCACCCCAACAATCTGCACCCCGGTCTCTCCAGCCTGAGACTGGGGTCACCCACACATATTTGGGACTGGCCTGCCCGATGGCTCGCTCAGTGGGTGAGAAGAGTCCGGGGCTCTTAGCTGTGTGCACCCCTCCCTCAGCTAGTCCAGCCCCAGGAATGAAAGAAAAAACACAAAAAAGGCTGGGAGATTCACTCAGCAGGGTTTCTCAAAGACCTGCTGTGAACGAGGTCCTAAGGGGTGAATTAAAATTGAGAAGGGGAGATGTAAACAAAGTCACCCGAGGGGGGCAGACTTCCTTCCGAGCATTTGGCTAAATGGTGATGTGAAAAGTGACCAGAAATCTCCTTCATTAAAGGAAATT